TGGGCCTTGAGGGGGCCGCCCGCTTCCCGGGCCCGGTTTCGGCGCCCGGCTTCTTTGGGGACTTGGCTTCCACTCCCCCCGCCCCCCACGCCCTTCTTTGTATCCCGACGCAGCCAGCGCTGCTGCTGGCCTTCCTCTCCCGGGTCGCATAGCCCCCCGGGCTCAGGCACTGCTTCCCGACGGCCGATTGGAGGCGGCGGGCTGACCCCGTTGCCCTCCGAGGCGGCCCTGGCTGACAGCTGTGGGCGAGCCAGAGGCCGCCGGGTGCCCGGCCCTTTCTTTCTCGCCGCTTCCTGCAGCCGGCGCTGCCAGCCTGGGAGGGGCCGCGCCTCGGGCTCTGCGGTCAGGTGCCAGTGCTCCGTCCACTTGGGGACTGGGCTCTCCCTGCGGCGTCACTTCTTCTGGCAGTTTCATTTTCAGTTCCTTAAAAAATAAAATAAATATATGTGTATACACACACACACACACATATATAGTGTATATATATAATTATATATAATCGACACGTTCCTTAGACACTAGCTTTTCAGTGCTCATCTGCTGAAGATTTCCTGTACACAGGGGAGGGTTGAGATTGCGTGGTGGGGTGGGGTGGGGCTTAGGGTTTCAACCTTAGGAGTTTACAAAAACCTTGTTTCCTGTCGCAGTAATTTTGTAGCCTTGCAGCCCTTTGGTCTGGCCGGCCTCTCTCTGGATGTCAGGGCCCTATGGCTGGCACGCACTTAGTGGATAGTTTCCTTCTCCCATTGCCTCCATCCTTCAAAATCCTCCACGGTTCCAGCTTTTTTCCTCCTTGCTGCCCCTCAGTTGATCTGAGTTGTCATGGCAACGTATTAGCAAATGTGTTGTTTTACAGGAAGCCTGGGAGAGTAAAATAAAGATCTTGAAGATGCTGCATTTGGGTTTGAGGACCTGTAATAGATAACAAATGGGGACACCCCAAATCAAGTGGCCTCCCAAGGGCCAAGTCTGGTCTTTGTGGTTAACCCCGAATCCATTGAATGGGTTCTAACACATAGCAAGCTTTTATAGGGTTTCGGAGGCTTTATAAATATTCAAGGGAGCACACAACCTCATCTTGCTTCCACAGAATGGCTGGTGGGTTTGAACCAACAACCTTTTGGCTAGCAGACCGGTGTTTTCCCAACGGTGCCACCAGGGTCCTTGTGGTTTGGGATAATTTTCCAATAGTGTTGGGTTTCAGCTTTCCCCTCCTAGGAGTTGAGAACAGAGCTTGCCTGGTGTACAGTGTGCAGCTAAGAATCTGGAAGAAGGATCAGCTTGCATGGCCTTATGTTTTGTGCTGATGCTGGTCAAACATGGCCCTTCCTAGTCCCCATGAAGCTGCTGCCATGGCAGATCATCCCAGCTTGAATCATAATTTGTCACATACACTTTGCTTCGCATTCTTGCAACCTCATAATCCCCCTCTCCCCCAGGAGTTGAAGTGACTGGAGGAACAGTGGCCTTCCCTACCCTTGTAGCCCAGTCCTCGACGTCAGAATGGGGGCGGCTGACTGTCTCATGCAGATGATTGGGTTATGTTCCTTCATAGCACCTAGTTTGAGAACCGGGGAGGGAGAGGGGGCCGTCTCAATTTCTCATTCGCCCAAACTCCCTGATTTTACCAGGACTTAGTACACAGGGCTGTGAGGCGCGTGATACGAAGACTTCCTGAGAAGGACCAGTTCCTCGGATGTGCCCCCTCACAGAGAGATGAAGGGGTGAGTGAAGAAGGGCTAGGGTCTGGGACAGGAGATGGGTGGCTTGGGAGCATAGAAAACATGGCTAAGAGCACTAGCTCTGGAGTCAAGCAGGTGTGGATCCAGGTCCCAGCTCTACCACTTGTTAGCTGTGTGACTTGGTTTCCCCAACTATGAAATGGGCTCTGGAGTCAAGCAGGTTCTTAGTAGTAATTAAATAGCACATGGGCAGTGCTTAGCTCAGTACTCGTGCACATAGTACATTCTCAGTAAATAGTAACTGTTGTTGTTCTAGTCTAACCAGGCACCTGCGTGAACTGCCATGGAGTTTGGGAGCCATATGTTATTGGGTCAGTGGGCTTCCCATTCATTCATACCCTTTGTATTCTTTTGTGTTCCTTTCCCTCCAACAGGCAGCAGAAAACAGCTGAAACGGAAGAGGGCACAGTGCAGATTCAGGAAGGTGAGTGATAGAAGTAGAGCCAAGAGCCCTTCCTGGTCTCCATCGCAGCCTGGTTCGTGTGCATCCTCCTCTTGTTAGTGACAAATGGCACGCAAGTGGAACAGAGGGAGAACAGGGCTGCAGCTCACAGGCCTTTCCTGTCCTTTGTTTTTTACTTAATCCAGGTGCAGTGGCAACTGGGGAGGATCCAACCAGTGTGGCTATTGCCAGCATCCAGTCAGCTGCCACCTTCCCTGACCCCAACGTCAAGTACGTCTTCCGAACTGAGAATGGGGGCCAGGTAAGGGAGGGGGCCAGGTGGCTGCAGGTGTAACTTGGGGTGGGGATTGGGGGAGGTCATTGTACATGTGTTGGGAGACCTGGCTTGGAAGATGAGGTGAAACTGTGGACTGTTTGTGGGGTGGAGAGCTTTGGAGTAGAGATCAGTGTGGCCTCTGGGCTATGCTGGAACCTCGCTGTGGGGAATGGAGGAGGACTGGCTGAGCCTATGCCTTTGAAGAACTCTTGTTTCTGGGCCCTGTCTAAGGGAAGCTTTATGAGGGGCCCCAGGATCCCCGGCGCTTACTCTTCTTTCTTCTTCTCTCTCCATCTCTCCCCAATCTAGGTGATGTACAGGGTGATCCAGGTGTCTGAGGGGCAGCTGGATGGCCAGACTGAAGGCACTGGAGCCATCAGTGGTTACCCTGCCACCCAATCCATGACCCAGGTATAGGGTGTGGGCTGGAGCACTAAGCAGTAAGATGGAGGGAACTAATAGGGTGGGGACGAAGCTAGGCATGGTGAGATACCGACAGTCGCCTTGTCCTTTGTCCCTATACCTTCATTAGCTTTTGCCTTTCCGATCACCCTCCCTTCATCTCCACGGGTGGAACTGCACAGGGAGACGGTGGGAAGTATCCGCTCACTGGACTCTGTTCTCTCGCTCCCCGCTCTAGGCGGTGATCCAGGGTGCGTTCACCAGTGACGATGCAGTTGATGCAGAAGGGACAGCTGCGGAGACGCATTATACGTATTTCCCTAGCACTGCTGTGGGAGATGGGGCAGGGGGCACCACGTCGGGAAGCACAGCTGCTGTTGTTACTACCCAGGGCTCAGAGGCACTACTGGGGCAGGCGACTCCTCCTGGCACTGGTGAGATACCACTTGAAGATGTGGGCTGGAGGGGCTAGGGTGGGTGGAACGTGGCTCAAGCCCCCCAAGTGATCACTACGGCCTGAGCAGGCAGGAGTGGGACTGCTCTTCCAGCAAGAGGAAGCCTACTCTTCGTAGAGGAGGGCCCTAGGGCGTGGATCTCTGTGTGAGGTGAGCTTCCGAGTCTCTGCCCTGACGGAACCTACCCTGCATGCTCCTAGGCCAGTTCTTTGTCATGATGTCACCCCAAGAAGTGTTGCAAGGAGGAAGCCAGCGCTCCATTGCCCCCAGGACTCACCCTTATTCCCCGTAAGTGACCCTTGTTTCTACTCAGTTAGGACAAGGGGTTTTGATCCTTGCCAAATCCCTTACCCAAAACTGCCATCTCAATGTTTGACCTTCCCTCACCCTGGCCACCCTGGGCTCTTTTGTCAGGAAATCAGAAGCTCCCCGGACAACCCGAGACGAGAAGCGCAGGGCTCAGCATAATGAAGGTGGGTGGGAATTGGGCGCTGAGTATTGAGGTGGGGGCTGCAGTGCTGTCTGCGGGCTGGGGGAGTTGGGTGATTTTACCCTGGAGCCTGTGGCAAGTTCTTGCTGAGGCGTTTCATCTTCCCTCTGCCTCCCACAGTGGAGCGCCGCCGTCGAGACAAGATCAACAATTGGATTGTGCAACTGTCCAAGATCATCCCAGACTGCTCCATGGAGAGTACCAAGTCTGGCCAGGTCCGGAAAGGCCCAGGGAGTGGGCTTCATGCCTGAATTCCACCCTCTGGCGTTGCTTCCAGAAGTTGTAGAGAGAGAGAGGGAGAGCGAGGGCGCAGACATCAGTGGTCTTTTCTTGTTCTCTTGGGGCTTCCTGTATTCCTGGGAGGTTTGCTTGATCATCCTTAAGGGGAGAGAAGATCTTCAAATAGGAATGTGCTTTTGGAAAGCAAGCCAGGTCCCGTTCTCTGCTTCTTACAGAGTAAAGGCGGGATTCTGTCCAAAGCCTGTGATTATATCCAGGAGCTTCGGCAGAGTAACCACCGGTTGTCTGAGGAGCTACAGGGGCTTGACCAGCTGCAGCTGGACAACGATGTGCTTCGACAGCAGGTTAGACCTCTTTCCTCTCCGCAGTGGCTGTCTAGGTAAGTCTGGGCGCTTGCTTGTGCCACATTCTCTTCCTGCCTCCTTCCGATGTCAGGTGGAAGATCTCAAAAACAAGAACCTGCTGCTTCGAGCCCAGTTGCGGCACCATGGAGTAGAGGTCGTCATCAAGAATGACAGCAACTAACCTTGGGGATTCAGGGGCTTCCGGCCCTACCGCCCTTTCTGAGAACTTCGGATAGCCCAGGAGCACCAGGCTAACCCCATGCCCCTCTCCTTCACTGCCCACTTCTGGCACGGGACTCGGGGTGCATTCAGAAAGTGTGTGTTTGAACTGAGGTCCTGTGATGTAGCAGCGGGCCGTGGTGTGAAACACCCATGTAGCTGTGCACTGATGACAGCCGCGACCACCCCCACCAAGCAGTCCCTGGGCCCGTGTGCTCCTCTTGCAGTGCATGTGCTGTCTCTACGCTGGATACTGGACACTAAACTGGAGGGCTCAGCCTGGGCTTGCCTAGAGCTCCCGGCAGAGGGTCTACTGACAGGGAAGCCCTGGCTTGCTCCGGGATGCCAGCCCTGCCGCTGGTTCTTCTTTCCGTGGAGCTGCTGCCCACATTCGGACCTGGCCCTGCTGTGGAACGGGCTTTAGCAAGAAGTGGGAGAAGGGATGCCGAGCCCAGGGCGAGGAGCCTGGTCAGCGAGCGGCTGGCTAAGGCCTATGCAGAAGTCTCTGGAGCCAGGGAGAACAAGAAGCAGGGCCCACTTGGGGCCTTCCCCCGTGTGGGGGAGTTTTCGGGTTGTTTTTTTTTCCCCCTTTTTTTTTTTTTTTTAACATAAAATTGTTTCGAGTCACTGCTGTATCCTGTTGGTACTGCTTTCTTGGGCCCCAGGGCTGGAGGGAAGGGGCATATTGCCCTTTGACCGGTAAAGGCTGGGCCAAGTTTTAGGTTGGGGTGCGGTTGCCATCCTCATTAG